GGACATATAATATATTCAGCTCTACAAAAGTTTCTGTGATGCTCTGTGGCTACAGCAGGTACAATACCACATAAGTACTAACCCACCCTGGGATAAAAAAGCCTTCAAACAGTAGTGTATTTGAAATGTTAATCAGAACTTACTAATTTATTAATTCTATTCCCCCAAACATCAAGAAAAGGATTTTCAAACACATTGTTAGGCATACTGCTTGAGTTGCTTTTCTGTTTATATTTATAGAAATTTTAATATGTCTATAGTCAAGTCTATCAATCTTTAATTATGGTTTCTGCCTCTGATGTCATATTAGACAAGATTATAAAATTATTCACTGGTCTACTTTCCTTCAGTTATATCTCATTTGTTTTCTTTAATCTGATATTTATTTGTGTATTATATGAATAAAAGATTCAACTTTATAATTTTTCCTTGCATTAACCAATTATTGGAATTGTGCTCATGTAATAGTACTTTCTTCACCAACATAAAATGCTGTCTTTGTTATACATTACTTTCATATGCTTAAATCTGTTTTGAGAATTCTCAAGCAGATTTAGCACCTCTAAGCCTTTATTTTAATAAAAAGTAGCATATTATCTTAGTAATTTTAACTTTATACTATTTTTTAATACTTGGAATTAGAAGTTCCTTCTTCATTATTCTTCTTTTTCAAAATTTTGCTATTCCTAAGCTGTCCATTCTTACAGATGAATTTTAATAATTATTTTGCTAACCTCTCCATAAAAATCTCTTTATGGTTTTAATGGAATTGCATTAACTTTATAAATTAATTTGGAGGAGCTAACATCATTACAATAGTTATTATTCTCATCTAGGAACACAACATAAATCTCCATTACTGGTAATCTTATTTTGTGTTTCTCAATAAAATGTTTTATTTCCTTTATTTAAGTCTAATACATTTCTTATATAGTTTATTCAGAGATATATGACATTTCATTGCTATGATAAATGGGATTTTTTCATGATGTTTTTCAATTTGTAGCTGTTATAGAAAAGTCAATTAATTTATACATGTTTATTTTTTATATGGCCTCTTAGCTGAAGTTTCTTATTCTAATAGTTCTTCAGTTGATTTTCTTGGGATTGTTAGTAAAACAAACAAAAAAAAAAAAAACATTTTTAAGAAAAAAAGGTGTCATCTCTTTTCTAATAATTGTTAACTTTTGAGAGGCAGCATACCATACTATTTAAGATTAAAGGCTCATGAGTTAAGTCACTTGAGTTTTAAAATTCAGCTCTGACACTTATTAGCTGTGTGACCTTGGCCAAGTTATTTAGGTTCCCTGGCCACAGCTTCCCATTTGTGAAATGAGAATAATAATAGTCCATATCTCCTAGGATTGTTGTGAAGATTAAATGAGTTAATATCTGTAAAACAGAACAGTTTCTAGCATATTAATAAAAAAATTTAAGATGCTAGTCTTTTTTAAATCTATTGCATATAGTGAGCCTCTAACATTTTTCTGTTTTCTTGAAATTGATATTTCAGAATTTATCGGGTAGTCGGAAAAGTCATGACATATTTTCAATAATAACATCTCTATTCCTAAATTACTGTTATATGGATGTATGTTTTCTTAAAAGTAATATAGTTGCATTTTATCAAATGTAATTTGGAATCTATTAGGAAGTAAAAAATTGGGGTTTTATTCTTTAGTCTATGACTATGAAATGATTTACATAAATTTTCCAATATTGAACCACTTGTACATTCCTAGAATAAACACCATTTGTTATATTATTGTATTTTGTTGATTTCTACATTCTATATCTAGTATTTCAATGAATTTTTGTGATTTTCTTTTATTTTCTACTTTTATTAGTTTTTTTTAGTATTATGCTTTTTATTAAATGAATTAGAAAAAATGTTTCATCTCTTTTGTAGAGCTTATAGAGAGTATGGTGCAATATGTCCCCTAAAAATGAATATTTTCAACCACTGATTATAAATACCTGATGAAAACAAGATACATTGCTCATCTAAACAGAGTATTTTAGCTCCTGCCAAATCTTCCTATCCAAGCTGGTCAAGGACATAGGCTTAACCGTCAGATAAAATTAGGCTCAAATCCTAACTTCACCACCCACTAGCTAAATGTGTGCACTGGGCAAGGTGCACTTTGATCGCAGGGAATAACCGTACCTTCCTTACACTCCTCACAGAGTTATTACGAAAATTACATGAGATCGTGTTTATAAATCACTATGCACTGCATCTGCAATAAAGATTCAATAAACTATTTTTGGGGCTAGTTTTGATTGTCCTTAAACACAAAATCAATGTTTACAATTGTACTTATTTACAAATGTATTTGCTACTTTTTCTTAGCATGGAGGTTTTAGTTTTTTATGTAGAAATAGAAATGTTTTTGAAAAAAAGATCCATATGAAATTACTTTATAATAAAAGGTAGATTTCAATTAAGGCAGTTATTTTCTACTGACAAATTTAAAAGTTCACATGGAAGTAAAAACGCGCTGATAACACAGGAACATGCACCCACCGCCACTGTCTAAATGGAATCACAGACGGTTAATGGGAAAGTTGTACTGGCTTTTAGAAAACCAGGCAATGGACCTGAACCCAAGTTAATGTCTGCCACCCTTTCCTGTTCCCTTGGAACCTTGTTCTCATGGGAATCGGAGCGTGGGAGGAGAATGTTAGCACCTTTACCCAGCCTGAGGCTTACTCTGTGTTCTCTGATCTGCCATCTAAACTGCAAGAGGGGAGCAAGTCTCGCGTTCCAGCTGGCAGCAAGAAGGGATTGGAGTGGCCTCAAATACAAATCCTACCAACATAGAATTTTTTGTGAAATATTAAGATTGCAACATAAATGTGATTTCATTTTTGAAAGACACACAATTTGTACAGGTCGTGGACTCTGAGAAAGAAGATATCTATGAAGAAAGGCTCCTTCCTGGTGACTACCTAGGTTCAAATTTAAAGCAGAGCCTAGCAGCCCTTTTGAAACAGGGGCCTCTCATACAAACCGCACTTCAGGGAGAAGCCTGTACTAAGTCGCCTGCCTTCCACACTGAACTGCCTGCCTAAACTCTGTTCCTGCCATCTGAGCTAGCCCTTGTAAAATGAGTTCCTGGACTGGTATTTCAACTAATAGGACTGAGATATTCCCCACTTAATCGGAGCTATACAGCTATATATCCCCATCAACATCTTCACCGACCAATCAGAGAGGCTCCGGTCTGACCAATCAGGACAGTGCCTTTTGGACCAATAAATTGTGAGGTTTTGGAGTCCTCGTTTCCACGAGGATGAACCAATCAGGGACCAGGAGTAGGGACTTCTGTCTATATAAGTCAGCTCTAGCACACTTTCCCTTTCCACCAAAGACTGAAGACTGTTTCCCCAGAATAAAACACTAAAGATGTCTTGCCAGAGCAGAGCACAGCAGACCGGACTGCAGCAGGTGAAGCAGACCAGAGCAGAGCAGAGCTGCCTAGCAGGAGAAGGGCCTCGCCCCAGGACCACCTTGTTCCAAGGCAGCATTGCAGCCATGCAGCTTTATAACTGAGCTGTAACACTACTGAGTTGTTCCACAGCCATGCTGTTCTCACAGCCATGCTGTATCACAATTGAGCTGTTTGCACTGAAAAAAGTTTCCCTCTTCACCACACCCCAAATTGGGGATTCCTGTTGACATTGAATTGATGCTAATGACCATCAATTGACAAGATGACTATGACTATATACATATATATGGTGTATATGATATATATATATATATGCAGTATATATATACAGTACATATAATATATATGCACATGAATATAAACAGGGATCTCCATATATTCATATTCACCTACATAAATGGATGCCATATATAATTGTCACATATATGCCACATATATGTGAAATATATATGACATATGTGGATATATAGGTATATATAATCAGCACACAGAAAACTGTTTCTCAAAAAATATTTGAGATTTATATCCACCAATCAGTGCAATCAAGAATATTTACTTGTGGGCCGGCCGAGTGGCTCAGTTGATTAAGAGCTTGCTTAAGAGTGCGAGCTCTGAGCAACAGGGCCACTGGTTTGATTCCCAAATGGGCCAGTGAAGCTGTACCCGAGCTGAGCTGCCACTGAGCTCCAACAGGTGGCAGGGTAGCTCAGTTGGTGAGAGCACGTGCTCCTAACAACAAGACCCTGTTTGATGGTGGGCTATGCCCGACCGCAGCTAAGACTGAACTTGGCACCTTGAGCTAAGTTGCCACCCGGATGGCTCAGTGGACAGAGCATGTGCTCTTAACAACAAGGCTGCCAGTTCGACTCCCACATGGTATGGGGGCTACGCCCACCCGCAACTAAGATTGTAACACAGCACCTTGAGCTTAGAGGCCACGAGCTGCTGACAGGCAGCCAGATGGCGACTGGCGCCCTCCACAACTGAGATTGAAGAACAACAACTTGGAACGCCTCTCAATTCCCCGATACTGTTCCCCTCCCCCAATTCCCCAATTTTTTTTTTAAATGACTATTTACTTGTTTGTTCTGATTATAAATCTATTACTATGGTCTCTGAGGAGTGTAATATTAAAAGAGTAGTAAGTTTATAAGACCTGATAGGTAATATTATGAGTTTCTCTTCTGTTTTAAAGGCTATAAATTTAAACATTGTAGTAGGATGGCCACCTCTGATGAGAACAATTTAAATAAGCACAGCTAAGAATGTAAATATCAAACCAAGCTTGGTCTCTGTACTAATCACTGGTCCCTGGCAGACGCAGGATAGAAATATGTATCTCACAAGTTCTCAGCATGCATTATTTGCTACTAATTTGACATTAACAATAGATTCTATCAAGTTTCAATTAAACTGTGTCCATCTGATTTCTAAAAAAGGACCTCCCACCTTACCTTTTCTTTTCTGTCCTCTGGCTTTATAGCAAAAAAGATATTTTCAGGGACATCCTCAATAGCAGGATCAGCGGATCAAAAGTGTACCTACCTCTGTCTTTTCTGCCCCCTGTGTGGCTACAGTAACTTGATGATTTCCAGCTTCCCCCAGGTTTCTCTTGATTGAGTGCCTTTCAGTGCTCCATGACCCCTGAAAGAAACAAAGGGAGAAAAAAGATTTATTAAGATAAACCTCTCATTCCTTGTTTCTTTCAGAAAAGACCAAATGGTTCCTTGGTCAATAACATCTAATTTAATGACAAAATGCCACACAATTTTAAAACAAAGTTCACTGTTATTTTTTCATTCCTCACCCTGTTTTCCTTTTCTTTTATATTTCTCTGATTTATAGCAGGGGCAGGATGAATTTCCTTGAGTAAGCAGCTCACTACTCCCTTGTAAATGAGAAGTGTGTTTCTTTTTACTATTTTGTTCACCATTCAAACCTAACAACTGTATTCCAAGTAATCTTTCTTGTGTTTTGTTCTAAGACCATGTAACATGAACAGTAAGAGACATTCTTACTAAATAGTAAAATCAACAATATAGCAAGAATACATATTTTTCTTCAGCTTTTCAAATTTCCCTTGAACCTAGGTTCACTAGCTGAGTGACAGCCTTTCTCAAATGTGTGATTTTAAAGCAATAAACCCCTGCAGCAGTTCATCTTTGAACTCCAATGCCTAAGAGCAAGGGCATTGCATTGTTTTCCTCAATTATACAATATGGTGATTGGAAATCTGGAAGAGAAAATGAACCCAATAAAATCCAGCCCACAAGTAATGTTTCAGTATCAAGAGGTCACTTGAAAATCTGCTATCCAATCCACTTGCATTGTTGTCCTGTTCATATCTGATTAGGTATTATATATACAAAGCCCCTATTTAAAAACTAATAATACAGAAAACAACTTAGTTATTTTCATTTCCATATATACTAACAGCGGCGCCTACAACTGATCACGGAGTAAACCAGGCCCCCTTTCACTGAGGCCATTTACATATCTGAGCAGACACATAGTAAATGCTTAGTTGTCCAAGAAGAGACAGCCATGTTCCTTTCATGTTATGGAGATATCTGTTCCTTTCTCTACAAAGTGTGGGGCCAGTAACGTCAATATTCCTGTGCTTGCATGCACTGTTTAACTTTACTAGGATTATTCAGAGCAGGATAGAGTCCAGTGCCACCTGCTATTTTCTTCTCTCCCCTCTTCCTTTATAATCGGTCACTACATTTTGTCTTTTCCAGGCTCATAATGTTCCTCAGCTCACTCTTCATTCCAATTCCATTCCCCCAGGCACCATCTAGCTCCACCTTCCTCACCTGCATCTTCCTCCGCTCCATCAATTCTTACACCGATAAGACATCTCTCCCTAGTCTCCCTGGTTAGATGAATGCTCCATCCAGTCCATGTTCCACAGACCATTCATGTTGGGATGGTAACTGAATTTTAAATTGACATAAACCCCAGGAATTATTTGTGGTGAAAATATTTCAGTATGATTCACAAATAAAGTATTTTTCCCCCAAATACCAACAGCATTATGCTAGCCACTTTTAAAGTTAGTTTTCAAATAATTTAATTACTCTTCTCTTTCTTTTGCTTCTCACATTTACACATAGGTTACAAGTAACCCAGTAAGAGAAGGTCCTCAGGGCGTTGTAATATAGAAGCAGAAGCACTGAACTTAATTCTAGTTCCAGCTCATCCATTTATCAGCGATTGATGCTGAGGAGTTATCTCCTTTCTTGGAGGAAATGACAGAGCCTTGCTTATCAAATGGGGATGAAATATCTATCCTGCTTATCTCTCCAAGTTGATCTGGGAATTAAGGAAGATCACATATAACAAAATGCTGAATATGCTGTATTGTTATCACTCTCCTTGAAGAACTACAAGAGTAAAATGGGTGCTTCTTGTGTTTAACACTAGATTCGGATTGGGATCCTAGAAAGGCAGCTGCGATCACACTCCTAAGTCTCACAGCTTCCTTTTGAGATTGTGATGTTCTAAAGCATTTTGTTTTGGCTTCCAAGGGGTGAGGGGGAAACAAAAGAATCATACTCTAATATTTGGATTTCCAAGACATGCTGAATCTAAAGGGAAAGAAAAGGAAAACGGGCTCATAAAAGTGACCAGTGTTATTTGGCTGAAACTGTCATGTAACTAAAATAACCCAACAGTCATTTGTGGCATAGATTTTAATGCAATCTCCTTAAAACCCAGTTAATGACTCCAGATATTACTGAACACTTTCCAGTAGGCAATATATGCCTATTTTCTATCATTGTGTTGTAGGCTTTTAATTGGACAATGTGGAATGTGTGTAATAGGATGAGTTTGTTTTGCTTCTAAAGAGAAAATTAAAAACCCAAATATCACCTCATATTATAAGCTGCACTGTAGCCTAAGTTCAAGGCAGTTTTTCTGTTTGTTTGTTTGTTTGTTCTTTTTGTTTTTTTTTAAGACTAAGGAAACCAAAGGGATGTATTTGAACTCATTAATCTACACAAGCCAATGAAAGTATAGAAATTAAGTGTAGAAAGAAGAGCAGAGTGCTAGGAATAAAGACCAAAGGTATATTTTCTTAAAATTTGGCAAGATGAATGTTAATCAGAGTTCACTAGTTTAAATTTTCCTCTGAATTGCATATGTATAATGAGGTAAAGAAAACAACCCTCAATGAAGTACAATTCTTTATTTGAAGGTTATTGTCCTATATTAACAAGGCTCTGTGTGTTCATTCATTCATTCATTCATTCATATATTCAAAAACCAATACTTACTGACTGCCTCCCATGCATGAGACTTTGTATAAGATGTGCTGGTTTGGACCCCTTGGCCAAATGGGGGTAGCAACTAATGTCAAAAGAATTGCACAAACAAGCTACATAAAGTTTTGGTTTTTTTAATTCTGCTTCTTCTACTTAGAACGCACATCACCTTTTGCTCTCACCAGTAGGCTCTGGGCCATCCTTAAAGGCCCAACTCTAGTGATGCTGCTTTTGTAAAGCTCTTTGGAATTGCTCCAGTTTGGTATTCACCATAACCCCTGTCCCTAAATCACTTTGTTCATAACTCTCTGATGTACTTAGTCAGATAGTCGGCTCTGCATTAAGGCTCCGTGTGTGACAGTCTTCCCTAGCAGTCTGTGAATGTCTTGAATGGCAATGTTGTATTCATCTACCTGTAAGACTCAGCACAACATATGTAGGTACTTATTTAGTGATTACTGAATGGATAATTCACACAGTTTTACTTGTATGAGAAAAAGGTATATCATAACTTCAAAATGAAAATTTGTAAATGTTTTACACTCACTCTTCATGTAGTTCTAAAAAGATGTATTTACGTCATGAATTTATACCTTTGTGAAGATATGAAAAACTCATGGAATTATTTATAAAAGCATTTACAACAAATTAGCATGATTCTACTCAAATTCTTTCATTTACTTATTTTTCTGACTTACACCTCTCATTGACCCCTTAGCATATTCTCTCCTATTTTTTCTTACTATATATGCTTGATTTATACAATTTCAACTAACCTATTAACCAGATTCTTAGCCATTGCTACATTTTCAAAAGATTAATAGCTATTGTATGTACATAAAATTGCAAATAACCTGTTTCATTCATCCATCCATTCATTCATTCATTCATTCAGCAAATACTATGGTCTACCATGTGGTAGATACCATGGAAGAAACACAAACCCTGTTTTAGGAGACAGAGAGGGTCATCTAGAGTAGCTGAAACTTCAGTGTTAACCGCCTACTGAATTATTTTTCACATTCATAGAATGTGAATGGATGTAAGGAAGCTTGGTTTAAAAGGCTTCCTGCTGTGAACTATAAGCCCAAAAATAAAATAAGCAAATTTAGTTATGTAAATGATTTCATAGTTTCCACTCTCTGGCATTTTCTCATTATATCATAATACCCTAAAACAAGACTGTATTGCCCACATGAAATCATATGGTACTTAAAAGTACACTGTCATGATTGAGAGCACGGAATCTGAAGACAGACTTTCTGATTATACATCTGTTACTGTGTATATTTGGTCTAGATACTAGCCTTTCTGGGCAGCACTAGACTTCCCCATATGTAAAATATCCATAATAATAGTACCTATCACAAAGAGTTGTTGGGGGAATTAAATGACATCCTTAACTTAAGTCACATAGAACAATACCTGGCACATACTATGCTTACTATGTTTTAAGTTAATCAATACTCTTATACAACAAGGATAAATACAATGCTCTTGCCAATGATATATATGATAAACACAGTAAAAAGATCACTTTTAAACATTAAGTAGCTTTAAATAAGACATCTTAGAAAAACATTTAAATTTTCTATTACTGATATATTTCAGTAGTATTCTAAGTGAATGGCTTAGACACATAAGTGGGTGTGCATGTTTGTGTGTAAAAAAAAATCTGTGTGCAATCCTTGAGAGGCATTTTCATGTATTTATTTATTTATTTTTAAGAATATAGGTTCCCTCGAAGAGTGAGGACCCCAATGCCAGCAAAGAACCTTTCCCTTTGTACCCAGAGCAAAGCCTTGCCTCCTGAACCCTTTGGATCAGTGGGAAAACAGTAACCACCCAAGGCGGGAAGTACTGGATACAAAGGTAGAGAGAGGGGAGGAGATAAGAAAGGTTTATATTACTTCTCTCTGGATTGCCCATGTTAATAATTTCTCAACTCTAACAGTTGCATATTTCTGTACTTCACATTTTAGCCTCAGATGCTACTGTGTGTTATTCCAAGCTATTGAAAGGGCTTAATTTTCACTGTTAAAATATGTGCCTAGATCTTCAGAAGAAGTCATTGCTCAACACTGGCAACGTGAAGTCCTAAAAATAGAACTCAAGCCTTCTTACAAGAGCTGTTTAGTTTTGACATTTTATCAACTCTCCTGAAGAGTCACTTATGGACTGTGTCAACTATTAACAATAGAGTAAGATGTGGCCCTGGTGAATTACCTTCTGACTTTCTTATACAGAAAGAAATTTCAAAGCAGTATCTCCCATATTAGTAGCAAGTTCTTGCATTGATATTAAATCATATAGTTTGCCATTTCAGTCCCATTTGACAAGCCCAGAGTTAGCTTGCTGGTTTTTCTCAAATGTAAA